ATTTCAAATAAAGCTTTGTTTGATTAAATGCTTTTCTATTTCTCGGATCACAGCTTTTGTCTACTTACTGACTAATTTGCTGAAAAAAATACTGAACTATACATTTTAAATCTAAATTTTCACCGTGCAATGCCGGGTAACTCAGCTAGTATATATATATGTATAAAACTACTATTTAATATAAAGAGGGTTTTGAAAATTTTTTAATTCTACATACTTAACTCCACAGAACACTCCTGAGGAAAAGAGTTACAGGTGGGTGTGAGGCATGGAGATCCGAAAATCATCTCGTACATCAGGTGACCAAAGGAATAAACATCCACATTTTGCAGCGTCTGAAATATTAGACTAGTTAAAAAGGTTGTGAGCTGCATTTTCAATGTTTTAAAAACAAAATCTAATAAATGAGGTTAAAATATACTTAAGACTTCTTGAAAGATTTGCTGTTGTTGTAAGCTACATTTTCAATGTCTCAATTTAGATGTTTCCTAGAGGGAACTCAACTTTATAATAAATACATGATCTAGAAAGTTCATGAAAGATAAGAACCATGAAACTTCTTGGGCTGTGTAGAAATAAAAGCACTATATATATATGAGTAGTCAGTCATGACTGAATAGTTAAGTGCCAGTCAGAGTTAGTGCATTTATTCTGCTATTCAGTTACTTGGCGGGATATGGCATTTGTTTATCGATCAAAGCTAATTAAGTCAGGTGTATGATTGCAGTTTATATTAAAACATAGTATTTGAAGTTAAGCCTACGTTTAACTGCACAGTTTAAAAAGTTAGGCCTATAAGTGACAGTTGCTGAATAGGCATAACTGAAGAAATAAATTACTTTATTATCATTACATTGACTTACTTGGCATTATTTTTAAAAAATAATCCAAAAAACACCCATCCAACAGAATATTTCACAACTTTTTTTTTTTAATCCAACCTTTTCTGGAAAGCATGAAATGCCTTTATTCAATCACATTGTTTACTTACAGATTGCAGAAAACTAACTACACATTGTTTGAAAAACTTAATTGTACAGTAAGAATGAGCAGGATTTAAGCCATAACTTCGAGCAGTATTTTTAACCAGTATCAAATCAGATACAATCAGTATTTTCTTAACCCATAAAATATCAACATTGTGCCCTGTTATAAAATAACTCGTTAAAAAGCCAGCTCAACTAATATCGAGATAAAACAGTAAATTTAGCAACAAATATTTTTGTAGTAAGCCTTGTTAACATTTATAATTGACAAAGTTAAAAATAATTTGATATAAAAAGTACATGTACAAATTATTTTAGTTCAAATAATTTCATAGTTTTTTTTTGTAGAATTAGAAATAAAACTGCAAAATTAATGATAACTATATCCCCGTATTCAGATTTGTAGAAGAAATGCTGAAATTATGCTACCCTGTATGCTTGCTTACGGGATGTCAGGAATAATAAAACACCTATGATTCCTTCTCATCTTTATCTGGTAGTTTTGGTTTAATCATGCTCTTAACTATGTTTAATGAATTATAAAAAAACAGTAGTTTTTGTTTTCAAGTAGTTTCAGTCTAATATGTTTATTTTTGTTGAGGATAGAATCCCATATAAATATTTTCATCTTGGTTGCTAAACTCAGATATATACACACTAAGTAGAGTAAAATCTTTAATTAATATTACTTGATGTCTTGGGTTGCAAAAATATGTACTTATACATTATTAATTTTGAGCTTACCCCATTTATTTTTCAGCCCCACAAACAATGAACCCCCCTCTAGTTTATTTTTTTTTTCAATGTTTCAGGGGTATTTGTTTCTCTCAGTGTATTTGGTTTGGTTTTCACGCAAAGCTACACGAAGGATATGTGCATTAGCTATCCCTAATTTAGCAGTAAAAGACTAGAGGAAGGGCAGCTAGTCATCATCACCCACCACCACTCTTGGGCTACTCTTTTAAAAATGAATAGTGGGATTGACCATCACTTTATAATGCCCCAACAGCTGAAAGGGTGAGCATGTTTGGTGGGACGGGGATTCGAACCTGCGACACTCAGATTGCGAGTCAAGTGCCCTAACCACCTGATTATGCTGGGCCCTCTCAGCTAGACAATGGATTATCTGTGTTCTGTCCATGGTGTGGAATCAATCCTGTATTTTAGTGATGTAAGTCCACACAGTTAACCAACCTGGGAACAGGGATAGTTGTTTATTTACTAAATGAACAATCAAAATAATACAGTTGTACAAGAAGAACACTAAATTTTAAAACACAAAACTAACTTGGTGTATGAAATGAAAACAAGCTACTTGTATTATGTGTTAGAAATATAAGACAGCTATTTGTTATAAAAACATTTTAGTCGAACCTGAACTTTTCGTAGCTGTACAAATTTTGGCCGTAAGTAGGCTGGTAAACCTAGTAATTGATTTTCTACTTCTAATAACCTGCACGTTTCTTTCTTGATGATGATATTTCCAGAATGTAGGTGGCCTATGTATTCATAAAGAAGTAAAAAATATATATATATATATATACAGATATAAATATATATTTTCAACATCTCTATTCACGAATGATAATATTAGATCTACATCAAATATTTCCAACATAAATACATGCAGAGATATAATCTCATTGTTTCTAAAAATAAAAATCATAAAATTTCTTAAAAAACATATTCTGCTTTAAGAAAATTGTAGAGGGAGAAGTTAAATAAAAATACAACATAAGCCATATTAATTACACAGACCTGTGAATTTAAATTTCATAAAAGTTGCTTTGGTTTTAATAATGAATTTTTCATAATTCAGCTACACAGATTTTGAAAACAATATTAATTTTTTCTATCATGTAAGGATTTTTTACAAATAATGAAGAAAAAACCTTTACTTAGATCAAATTATTATTTCTTTACCACAATTAACATTTTATATTATTATGTTTATCAACAAAAATACAAACAAACTGAAGAAAAGAGAAGAACATTGATGTCAAATGAATATTTATCCTCACTCATCCTGTTTTACTTTGTTAAATCTATGTCTAGTCTCAAACTACATGTTATGGTCTTGTAAAAAACCAAATTTCGTTTTTATTTTCAATTTGCCATTGCCCAGGGTTACTGATGAGAGGTGTAATTCCCTGTAACTGGTATAACTCAGTAAGAAGTGGTAAATTGATAGATAGATTGGCTTTCACACACACACACACACATACATACATATATGTGTGTGGGTGTGTATTAACAATCAACTCCAATTACAGAGTATCACACAGAGTAAGGTGATGACAACCGACTACCACAGATAACAATATGATGCCAATTATTGACCACCACACAGTAACAACTACTAATCATAAATATTAAGTTAGTAGCAACAACTAATCACCATCAGAAGCAGATACAGGTGTTTAGACATGGAGTGATCCAACTCTTGGACCAGAATATTAACATACTCATATATATATATATATATATAGTTATAATGATATGTTTAATTCCTCAATATGTTAATAAGAAGATAAGTATATCATTGTTCTAAAAATAATATTAATAATAACAGGGAATATAACATTTTAATTTTCATTAATGATATAGAATATTTTAAAGCTTCATGAACTGAATAACAAGGTTCATATACTTCTTTCCTTTGTTGTTGTTGCTCTGGAGAAAGAGGGTCCTGACCCTCTGGAATCTTATATCCACCACTAAACATATACAGAGCAAGGTGACAATTAATAATCATAAATACCAAGATGGAGATAAGTACTGACCACCATACATAATAGGATGATGATCACACAGAACAAGATGATAACTAATAACCATTACTACCAAGTCAGAGATAACTACTGACCACCATACATAATAGGATGATGATCACACAGAGCAAGATGATAACAACTAATAACCATTAATACCAAGACAGAGATAACTACTGACCACCATACATAATAGGATGATGATAACACAGAGCAAGATGATAACAACTAAGAACCATTAATACCAAGACAGAGATAACTACTGACCACCATACATAATAGGATGATGATCACACAGAGCAAGATGATAACAACTAAGAACCATTAATACCAAGACAGAGATAACTACTGACCACCATACATAACAGGATTATCACAAAAAGCAAGATGATGACAAACATTACCATCACAAAGAGTAAGATGGTGAAAAACACTACCACCACAATAAGATGATTACACAGAGTAAGATAGTGAAAAACACTACCACCACAATAAGATGATTACACAGAGTAAGATAGTGAAAAACACTACCACCACAATAAGATGATTACACAAAGTAAGATAGTGACAAACACTACCATCACAAAGAGTAAGATGGTGAAAAACACTACCACCACAATAAGATGATTACACAAAGTAAGATGGTGACAAACACTACCACCACACAGAGTAAGATGTTGACAACTAGTGATTGCCACACAAAAAAGCTTAATATCATATGTATTAAATCAGTTATTGTGCTTGAAAGTCTTAAGTAATTCATATTTTTACACATCTGGCTATAGTTAGAAATTAGAGGTAAATATAGATGAAACTTAGCTGAATGGATGGCAACTGCCTGTTACAGAAACACAAGTGTAGAGGACGACGTTTGTCAAAATAATAAGCTTATTCTTCTTAATATTATATATAGTAGTATTTAGTAAGTAGGTTGAATAATATGGGTGTTGGGCGAAGGATTCTTCTACGGTAGGTGTCTGTGACTTGGTGATGATAAATTCAAAAATAAGTAAACAGCATGCACTCCACTTGTTTTCAAAATATCATGTGTATGTGTATATATATAAAACTAGTTAAACGTATGTACAACTAATTGTTTACACTATAAAGATCATGGGCATATCTTAAACACTACATAGTTCTCTTTTTCTTCTCAAAAGTCCTCTTAGGCCTATTCAACTGCTTTAGAATTTCAGTTGACAAGCTGAACTACTTTTCTCTATTTCTATAACACTAGTATTCCATGTATAATTCACTTACAATTATAGCACGTTTACCACAGTCATATACTGCTCTTCCAGTAATCGTCTGGTTATCGTACTTCAGATATCTTCTGTTCCTTTTGTCGAAGTGCACTCAGGTTGGTACAATTACTTTAGAACTTGCTTTGATGGAATAAACTATACTTATTATCTCTTTTAGAACTGTTATTTTTACTCTAACATATTAATCATTAGGCCTTTCACTCCTACTGCAGTTAACAGTAAGTTTAACTTTCTTTGGCCGAACTTCTACTTCCTGTGATTTTACTTTCTCATCTGTTCTGTCTGTCAGCTATTCCCGCTCGTCCCACACTACATATATATTTTTTTTCACTTAATCGTCTCATTGACTTCTAGAAATCTCTATATCCTCGACATCAATAAATTTCTTGCAATGTTCAATAGCCTCAACACCAATGAATTATTTAACACAATGTACGATTCTTATTGAGTTACATAACTAAACTTGTCATAACGTTTACTTTAAAATAATTTCTTTTAATTCTCGTTATGAAAAAAATTAAACAATCATGAAATATTCACTCACAAAATAAATAAATTACAATACCTAAACAGTCTTTTATATCATGACAACATTTCGAAAGTCTTCTACCTTTCATCTTCACGGAAGACTTTCAAAATGTCATCCTCTACATTTGTGTTTCTACAAAAGGCAGTTGCCATCCATTCAACTAAGTTTCGTCATGAATACTCTCCTTGAACAATCTATTAAAGAACAGTGGTTAATATTATCCTGAATTTTGATTTACTTAAATATTTATTAAGAGAGAAATTTTAAGAAATCATTGTTATTAAGTAGATGTTAATTTTCAGAGACAGACAAAAATTTAGTCTATTAGTTTAATGCATACGTCTAACTATTACAAATATTGTCAAAAAAATGTTTCTTTTATTTCATAAAGGATGCACAAAGTGAAAATCTTTAGGTTATGAAAAGTTATTTATATCATTGGAAAAAGGTATTTTCTGTATCTCTTTACAACCCAAGAATTACTTGCACGATGTATTACTTTTGGTAAAACACCTAAGGGTTATAAATGTGTTAAATTGCTGTTTCAGGCAGCACAGGATAAAACAAGCTTCTTGATATACTGAGTTAAAGAAGAAAATATTTAATTAACATCATCACATAACAGCTACTTAAAACAAAGAAAAAAGAAGTGAAATCTTTAAAATGTTTTCTATTTTTACCATGAAATAGTCCTTTATCTTGTAGGAACTTTAACGCAACAAGAATCTGTCGACCAAACTTTTTGATCAAGTGTTGAGGAACAGGGATGACTATCTTTGGATTAATATATTTCTTTATGAACGAGTTTTTGGGCTTACTCTAAAAAGAAAGACAAATAATATTCATGAGATTTAAAAAGATTAAAAACTATCTTGCTGTTGTTTAACTAACACAAAATTAGACCTAAGATAATTCAAATTATGAATATTTCACATACATATACATTACACAAACTTTTTGATCAAGTGCTGAGGAACAGGGATGACTATCTTTGGATTAATATATTTCTTTATGAACGAGTTTTTGGGCTTACTCTAAAAAGAAAGACAAATAATATTCATGAGATTTAAAAAGATTAAAAACTATCTTGCTGTTGTTTAACTAACACAAAATTAGGCCTAAGATAATTCAAATTATGAATATTTCACATACATGTACATTACACAAGAATAGGTAAGCCTAACAATGCACATACTTTTAAAATTTATGTCACAGATTCAATCAGCTGCATGGAAGAACTTATTCCTTGGTTTCTTTCTTACATTTAGAGTTAATGAAAACAAAAACCAAACATCAGAGTAAATGCTCATGAGGATAACAAATGATTTATTGTTTTCATACCTTATTAAACAGACAACTGATAGATATCAAGATGTCATAAGATGGCTGAGGCTAAATTTCTTGTGGAACCACCATAACAACAGACTTTATTCACTCAATAATCATAAACTTCATTCAGGACTTAACCCAAGAATTAAATATGATTATGAAATATAATTTCCAAAGAACAAACAAGATGAACATAGACAATAACTTACCAACAGTTAAAATTGACACATTAATAAAAAAAAACACCTCAATAATGACAAAATCTATATTTACTCATATTTTTCATACTTCATATTACATGGATAAGATAGATAGCTCTTAGCATGATTCTATAAACAGTTCATCCTGAAAAGGAGTGAAAGCTTGATGTAACTCTATGTATAACTGATGTACATTAAGAATATTTCACAAAGTAGAATGACTTATGCCCAGAAACCAGTTTCTTAATTTACACAGATGATTTTCTGAAAGAGAGGAAGGAGTCGGTTACTATGCAATAGACACAAAAAGATGCTGCACGTGATCTACATTGTGAAAAAAAGAGAGAGAGAGATTTTTAACTTCTTCATTGTTATGCTAAAAAAGTTATTAGAAAGCCATCTACCCAAATGGTTACTAAATAACTTGACTTAAAGTTGTATAAAATAATAATTATTCCTATATGGATGATGACACTTTATTTGGCTGATTCTAACACACCTTAAAAATCAGCAAGTCTTCATTAAAGAAGGCAGCTAACCTTGAAACAATCTCTTTATGAAGAGAATTTTTTTGTTGTTGTAAAAATATCTAAAACAAAACTTATACCAAGATTTCTTTCACCTTTTTATTATATTTACAGTATTAGATTTTGCACTCCAAGTTTACTACCGAGTGCAGAAACTTAGCAAGTTTTCAATCCAAGCTTCACTACTGATGCAAGAACTTAGCACTATCTGCTTCAATCCAAGCTTTACTACAGGAAATTAACAAGATTTTGTTACTAATTCATGATTCATTTATTCACTGTCAACATCTGGTATTTTTTTAATCTCTTCCAGGGTTTTCTAAAAAATTCCCTGTAGAAATATGTGAATTTCCTTTTGTTTCATGGTATTCAGCTCTACTTGCAACTTCATTTATAAAACAATTCTTTTTTTCAAAATCAAGGAATGTCATTTAATAAACATTAATTATATCTCATTTTAATGACATATTTATTTTTGATACATTCAGTAAATTTTCATTAGGTACTGTAAGCTGATGTTGGGCTAACAGTATCACAATTATAACAAATTGGCCTAATTTTTATTCAGACTCATACAGACTTGACTTTTTGTAAGTGTTTGTTCTAACTTGTGAAGTAACCTAAGAAAGCCTAAATCTGCTAAGGTGGTAAATAATTAATTTAAAATATCAAGAAACTCACATAATAGTAATTCACTATACCATGGTCAGATACAATAATCAAAACATGACTGAAACAGGAACCTTTAAGCTAAAAAAATAAAAACGGTTTCCCAGCTAGACATCTTAGGGGGACTTAAACCCTGAAAATTCATGAAGAAATGATAATTCACGAGACTTTAAAAATTAATAAATGTAACCATCAGCAGAATAAAAGAAAACCTTTCAATCTGACTTTAGTACAACATGACACTTGTGCATATATTTATAGTTTTAGATAACTTTAGTAGTTACAAAATAAGAATGCAATTAACTGTACATAAAGTAGAAAAACAATATTAAAATGTGACTTATAAGGTGGATTTCTACATATAAATGTGTAAACACAAGTATCTGAAGGTACGTAGGTAATTATTACTACTTCTACCATATGCCGAATATCTTTGTAAAGAATTTTAATAATGAAACAAATGTCTACCAGAAATTTTCTGCTTACCTTATACATGAGATCCCTTAGTGTTCCATCCTCTTCTAAGTTTCTAATAACTGAACATCCACTTTCTCTGACTGTTGCAAATGTTAATGGATAAATATATGGATGCTAGAACAAAAAAATTTGAAGGTAACTTCACACTATAACCTAGTGACAAACAAACTTACTTTTATGCAAATTTTTTGTGAAAAACAAAAAAACACAATTAGTAAAAGTTTGGTTGTTTCTTCTTTACCTGTTTAAGTACATTTCTACATACTTCTGGTCACCCAATTTGTCAAAAATAGTGTTACGGCTCTGTTCGTTTGTTAATTTTCCGTAAAAATTATTTCCGAAGAAACTTTAGCGATACAAGTCCTTTCTTAAATAAAACTAGTTTACTCTTTCTTAATACAACTTTGCCATACACTTAATTTCCACAGTCACGCTATACCTTATAAAAACGCTATAATTCACAACGAACGATTCATGCGCTTGACTCAATTGTCCGTCTCTATCTCTGTCTGCAATTCAATTCCATTGTTGCTGTCACTTCTTGGCTGTCTTATATACAAGAATACCGCACATCTAGTAAACACTCGAGCATTCAAGAACCTTCAAGAATATCATGACGTGTTACTAGCGTCACGTGACTTCTGCTGTCATAACAATAGTTAAAAACCAGAGGTTCTATGTTCAAGTATATTTGGTCAGTCCAAATCTACTAGCACATTTCATTATGTTTCATCCTTTCATTTTCTAAAATTAACTGCACTAGAGTTTTTTGAATATTTTAAACTAACCCTGAATGTATTTCCGAATTTTCAATCTTTAATTTACTTGAAGTATCTACAGGTTCAACTTGATAACAATGAAGCTTATCTTTATTATACACCATGTTTCCTGTTAACATATACTTTTTTCAATTCAAAAAGTTAATTTAAAAATGAAAAAAATCAATTTATCCTAAACCTTCTAAATGTTTTTAGTATTGGAACATGTTAATCAAAAGATTGTGTAGATTTGGATTATCATTTTCCTTAAGGTAACAGATACACCCACCTGGATAGCTACTTGCAATCCTTTTGAAATAAATCATTCATTTATAAAGTTGTCTCAATAAAAATGGGGTACCGGATAGAATGGAGACTAACAATTCCTCTGATCTAACCAGTTTTGAAATCTAGTGCTAAATAAGTAGTAAAATATAAATTCAAATTAGTGTAAAAAGCATTAACTAATCTAACTGTTCATTAGAGTATGTTACTTTACTTAGAGCTACCACAAAATTTTCTGCTTTTGGGGAGTATGTTACTAAAGCTAGGACATATAAATAAAGTGTTCATATACAAATTATAAAAATTGTATAATAATAAATTCCTATTTCAAACTTTTGATGAGCATAAAATTGTTTTGAAACAAGATATTAAGTTTTCCTTATGTCATATTACAAGATTTAATACTGCCCTATCAAAACCTAGTAAACATTTTGTACTAACTCTAAACTAGTTAACACACTTTAATAGTAAAGTCAATTAATGCTTTTTATATGAATTTCAATTTCACCCCTTTGTAAGTACAATTTCAAAAACAGTTGACCAGAAGAAAGCTTAGCCTCTCTACTCTTTGGTTTCTCATTTTTATTGAGATACTTTCATAAATGAATGAGGTATTTAAAAACATTAGAAGTAGCTTTTCAGGCAGGTGTATGCACCAACTTATGCATTGGAAGTTGAAACACCACATTCTTTGACAGTTCTTCAAAAAATTATTGAGTGACTGTACTTCTGCAAGACATGAGCAGTAAAACTTGGATAAAAAATAATAATTTTTACCTGTAAACCAACTAAAAGTTTTATAGCTGACTGCAAATCCTTATCTACAAGGTAATGATCTGGACCTAGTGGAACCTAATAAAAACAAAGATATTTGTTAAGATTATTATCATTGATTTAACTGTTACAATTTTTTTTTGGGGGGGGGGGGTTAAGAAAACTTTCAAAATTATTAGCATGATTGTATATATTATTTTAGCAAGAATTGACTTCTTTTAAATGAGTTAATACAAAGCTATTAAGAAAAAGTCAACATTGTGCTATATTATTACATGTACTGATTCATACAATTGTTTCAACAAGTCAACCTAGAAAGTATTTTGATAATAGACTCTTTACTGACATGATTTCTATTTAAATTCAAGGTGTTATTTTCACTATAATGCTTCATAACTAATGTAGATCCACATTTCATGGAATAAAAAAGTTTAATACACTAATACTTTTTAGAAAATTGCAAGGCTAATTGCCCAACTAACTGGCTTCTGTTTCAAGGGCTTGCTAATCATGAGGTAATATAGAATTCTCATCTTTCAAAGCTTTTGGCCTATAAGATTTTACTATTTTTAAACATTAACTGTCACTTACAAAAACGTATAATTGTATCAGCTTATGGTAAAGAGCACAAAAAAAAAATTGCTCCCAATTTTCATTGGAACTCTGAGCAAATATAAGATGATAAATAAGTTATTTCACAGGTTCACTTTGTCATTATTTCAAAATTAGGACACTTGTTTAACTACAAGATTTAATATAATCACAGCCTACACTTGTAAAGTTGTATGTACATAATGCTAGCCCCCTGAAGCTCATTTACATTACTGAAATTATTTTAAACAACTCAAATCTTCATTTTGTAAGCTTCTACAATAATAAGATAAATTTAACAAACTCATATTTTAAAGCAACCTGTGATCCTTATTTCATAAGCACTTATGTTACCAAGATAAAATTAACAAACTTACATTAACAAAATAAAATTAACAGCTATCAAGTTTAAACACCCTGTGATTTTTATTTTTGAGCTTCTACAATAACAAGATAGCTTTAATAAACTAATACGTTTATAAATCATTATTACATATTTCAGAATTTGCTAAAGGTTTATTCAGTACTGTATTCGATTATTGCTAACAGCAGTACTAAACTGCACATTTCACATGAACTATCACTGAAAGTTATTCATGGTAATATGTTACACATCTAACAGTTAAAGTTCATGTGAGAACAGGGCTATGTATGTGCATATATAGTTATAAATATATGTTGGCAGGTTGTTATTTTGTACAGCATATATTGAAAGAATTAATTATATAAGTAAAGTATTCAACATTGAAAATTTAACAAATAATACCAGGATAGGAATAATGAAATATAATTACATTCACTCGAGGGAAGGCTATCAGGAAGATTACATTCCCTCATGTAAATCTGCATTTACTCATGAATTGCTTTTTTATTTAATCAATGCAATATGTTCCCTTTCATTGGTCATAACTAAAGGAATATGGATGGACCGTACATTCCCAACTGGGAAAGCCAACTAAAAAGATTAAATTCCTCAGGAATGCGGGAATGTTATATTTCGATCCCTGTAATAATAAAGCACTGTTGCATATTCCCAAACATTTTAAAAACATTAAATTAATAATACTAAAAAAAATCATAATATCAATGACACAAATGAATAGCATTGTAAATGATCTAATGTAATATACAGCAGATGTTGCTCCAGTTGTAACCCAGTCATATAAGTGTAAAAAAATATATATCTAATATTATCTTTCTACTGTTACATACCCATGAAAGAACCTGCCTTTCTTTAGTTTCTCCTTTTGGCTTGATCAAAAAATATTGTTTTCTTATCCTCCAGCCTGCATGGTAAATTAAAGTAACAAGACAAAACTTTCCTTACTTGTTATATAACAAAACAAATTCTATAATGCTTAAAATATAAATATTATCCATTATTGTTATCTTACTTTAAAATAGTACACGTATATTACTTAATTAAAATATATTTTAATTTGCATATTTTACATTCGAAGATTTAGTAATTTAATCTGTTATTCAAAAAGGATAATTACATCACTATGACATTTAGATAACTTGATCGGCTGCTGGAAGATGACATTCAAATTTCTGTACAAAAAAAGGAGGAGCATGAAAAATCCAACCTATTTTTTTTTCTCTCTCTCCAGATTAAGCAGGATAATTAAACATCCCATATATATATATATACGAGTGAAATTGAAAAAAATTGACTGATCTATTATAAATATGTAAGTAAGAAATGCATCAAACTTGATAATAACAACACTTAAGCTGTAATAGGATGTTGGACAAATTGATCTCAAATATAGTTTTTTTTTGCCTTACTAAAGTTTGACCAACCTTCCTTTCTTTAGCCAAGTTATTAACATATTTTTTCATCTTGATAAAGTACTCAAATTTTTTTAAGAAGAAAGAAGTAAATAACATACAATAATTAGTGATTAATATTTATTTTTACACATTTGGCTAGCAGTTGGTTAAGTGCCAACGATTAAAAAATTACCATATTGGCCTGAGTATAGGGCAATATCGAATATAAAGCAATCTTCCATTTTCAGAAATCATGGGAAAGAAAAAAAATTGGGTGTCGTAACGTCCTTTTTAGGTTCTCAAAATCAATACTATATAACTGAACAGCTTGCAGGTGGATTAGTTGCATGAATTAGCGATGATCTTGAGTGAACATCAAGCGTGCATGTGTAGACAGATGTTATCTGGAAATTCAGGAATGCAATAGGCTAGAGTAGGGTGAAAGAGCCTGTGGTCGGCTGCTATTATAAGGTGACTATGAATTTTACAGGCTAATTATTAATTTTAAAAAATTGCCTTATAATCGAGCCAATAGGGTACTCACTTTTAAATTTTAAAAAACAGTAGCTTTTGTTTACCAAAACAAAAGGGAGTACTTACTTACCTACTTAGTTGTTTTCATCTTGTTTTCAAATAAGGATTTGTTTTTTAAAGGCTTATGTAGCTTAATCACACATAAAAACATTTTGATAGTAGATAAAATTGAACCTATGATGTTTTGAAAAACTATATATATCAAGCAACACTTGCCCATGTCAGGAAGAGGTTCGACTACTTCCCACCGACACTCTGAACGAAATATCATGGAGACATGTTGAAGAGCTATCTCTGTAAAGAAGAAATTTATTAAAGTTGTAAAGCACTTTCTTTATAAAATCTGTAAAAAACTGTAATCATAACATAAGCAACATCTATGTGTTATTTCTTCATCATGGACTCTTAATCAACTTTCCATTTTTGTTATCTTGCAATTATTTTCACTATGCTATAATAATATAACACTCAAAAACTATCTACAAACAAAAATATTCTAATAGTGATTATCTGAATTATATTTCTTCAATTATTAAACTGGATCAATGATTAAGTCTTCTTAAAAAATTGTTTTTTTTCCCTATATTCTCAATCAAGACTATTAAAATTCTTCTCTAATTATTCATTGTGTCTGACTGCTTGACAACATCACAGTGCCATGGCTACAGGAACAAAATCCAATAGTTAATATATATAGTTTCCTTTTCCTTATTTTCCTATTTCCCATTTTCTTAATTTTTCTCCTCCTTTTGTTTTTCTTTCATCTTTTTCTCCTCCTTTTGCTATCCAATTTTTGGCTTTTCCTCCTTTTACATAACCTAAAATTCTTCCGATGTTTTCAAAATTATTTTTGTATTTATTGGACATTTATTCAGAAGAATATTTACCACTGACCGGGATGAACAGAGAAGTACATTTAGATCAAAACTGGCTTAGAGAAAGAAAAACTAAACTGATAGAAAAAATGGAATGTTATTAATTATCATTAAAGAATATGATCATAATTTTCTGAGAGCAAATTAAATATGGTTAATCTTACAACTTTCAACTTTAAAAATGCAGTGGTATAATTCTGAGAAAACAAATAAAAGTTCATCCAAGTTTAATTTAGGCAAAATACAATAATTTCATTTTCTTATCTGGGTGGTGGGTCGCTTGCTTTGGTCCTAGTAGAGCAACTGTCTCATAATACTAGTGTGATCTGAGAGTCATAGGTTAAAAATGCTTAGTCAGAGCAGTGTTTTACATACTTTGAATCATTACATTATACAAAAGGACATATTCTATTTACATACCAATAAAATTACTGGAATATTTGTCTGGATCAAGAAAACGTTTCACATGCAAGGAATTTGCCAACATTGGATGTGCTAGAACAGCATTGATGTAAGCCTATGAAAAGGTAATGCTTTTAAGTTACTAAAACTGCTTGACTGGAAACACACACATAAATCCATACTTATATAGATTTTTTGTATAATTTCCCTAAGTACACTTACATATATATATGATTAAAAAACAAAAGTAACTATTAGCCTGCTTACGTGTAAAACGAAAATCCAATGTCATTTTTGCAAAATAGAATTAAATGCTCATTATTATTTACTCACATACAGAATCAACAGGTAAGACCATTACAGATTCATTACACATTTATCATACACAAAACAATATAACAAAATACATATACTATAATCAACATTATATACATAATTGGCAGGAATGAAAAGTGTTTAATTTGTATTGAATATATCCAGATAATCAGATAGATCATAATATTTTATACACATTATTAATAATAACATAAGGTTACTAAAAGTCGTCAGTATCTCAAACTTATATATTTTAAATATAATACTATACTCAATGCTATAAGTTAAAACTATATTATAAAACTTCCCAATATCTTTAAATACATACACACACACACACACATATATATCAATAACAGCAAAACAATGGAAAGTTCCACAGATTAAATATTAGAAAGAATTATGTTTTTAAAATTCCTACACCTTTTTATTGGTTTTACATAGTAAAACTTTTGTTTATTTTATTCACAAAGTTTCACCAGGTTCTGGAAAGTTCTGCTCGCTACCTAAAGGATTTGATTTTAAAAGCAAATATTATTTTGATTCGGTCATTAAACAATGTATTTTTAGATATTTTATCCAGTTGAACAACAAATATATTTAAATAACTGCAAAGCAAAAGAAAAATATTTCATCAAAATTGAATTTCTCTATCAAATATTTTTTGTTAGATTGTAGTGATTATTACAAAAAGCATGGATAATAAGTACAGAAATCTTACTTGCAATCCTTGTTGTCGCTCTGCTATGAATTCTCTTCCCATGTTACCAAAAACTTTTTTAGGTGGTAATATAACATCAATGCCAGCAGGTTGGAGGCAGGTATTCAGAGCATCAAAATCACTATACCGACGTGAAATATGCCAGGAATTCTTCACCATATGGCCTCTCTGAACCCTCAGAATATAAGCCTTAAAGAAATGTATTGGGTATTGTACAGAAGGAAAAACATCTGAATCGATTTTCCATACAATATTTTAAACCGCACAAATTATACAGTTTAAACTTAATAAAAAAATACTAGTCACTGTACTTATTTTGTCATGTTTTACATATGCTGTCAAAGCCAACTGACAGATAACTTATTTTGTGACTAATAATGTTAAGGTGAATATGGCAAGAACTATGCCAATCCAGCCCTTGCCTCTTATTTCAAAATGGTTATTATAAATTTGAAATAATTTAACCTTAACATACTTTAAATTTATTAAACTGTTCCATAATATTTCCACATATATTAATGTTGGCACTGTTTTTGCAATAACTTTAATTTACTTTTTTGGTGAAAGATACAATATAAATAAGCAAAATAGTCCAATTATTCATCCAAGAAATCTTATCTAATTCATCTTAAAATAGGCTACTTCATACCTGGATTTATTGGAGAATCCATGACACTTTCAAACATACTACTTTTAAGTTTCAGCATTACTTAGAAACTTTTTAAGACATATTTTTGGTTTGTTTTGTTTTGAATTTTGTGCAAAGCTACACAAGGGCTATCTGTACTAGCCGTCTTAATTTAGCAGTGAGAGACTAGTCACTAGCAATGAAAGCAGCTAGTCATCACCACCCACTGCCAACTTTTAGGCTACTCTTTTACCAACGAATAGTGGGATTTCTCATCATATAATAATGCCCTCATGATTGAAAAGGGCGAGCATGTTTAGTGGGACAGAGATCCAAACCTAAGACTCACAGATTGTGAGTCAAGTTCCCTAATCACCTGGCCATGCTAGAACGACATATTTATGTCAGAATTAATGGAATGTAGAAGTTCTGTTTTTTCATTAAATAGTCATAGAATTCAGTACATGACTGTGCAATGTACATTTTGATGAAGAGTGCTGTCTTAACTGTCTCCACATTTAGACCTGCACAAACCTGGGTTTATCATCACACAGAAATAGAACTTTCAAGAGAGTTTAGCACCAGAAGACCACATGTTACAACAATGAGCAAGTCACGTAGGCTTATATATTACATTCATGATTTAATGCGACTGACAGTTTGATGTCTTTATAAAAAAAACAGAAAATTTGTGTATGTTGCGGTAACTTTTCTCAGGACACTGTCCTGGAAAAACTAGGTCATTTAGTCACCCTAAATATGGCCTATATCATGTCACCTAAAAAGTATTTTAAAACAATTTTTACATCTTCTTTGGCTTTTGTTTCACCTGAACGGAAAACAAATTGCTACTAATATTTCTTTAACAATAGGATAACACTATAAATTTTGTATATTCTGCTCTTATGATATGGATAAGTACTTCTTAACATTAACTTATCCAATTAATTAGAATGCACTACACATTTATAGTTTGTATGATATTAGTATTAATTATAGTGTGTGTGATACTGACAACGTAAACTAGAAAAGTCTGAAAAGAAAATGTAATACTAAACTTTTATCAGAGAGAAGTGTAATACTAGGCCTATATCAGTCAATCCATTATCAAGCTATTTTCATGAGAACTTTTGACCAATATGACTTCAAAGTTTATTTCTTTTTGCAATATATGAGGTTTTATATGTTCATTTTTCTGGTTCTTTTTTGCCCAGGTCAATTTTTCACTAAAAGTAAAACTCCCTTGATTGAAATTAGATTTTTTTAAATATACTATTTTTACATTTTCTTAAAATTTTGTATAAATTATTCTTAAAATAAACTTTGTGTATAATAACCACATTTCAGGGTAACTCCCAATTTCAAGCCTTCATTTGTTTATATCTGTTTTAATATTTTTAATTGCTTTTTTTATTTCTTCAGTTTAAACATTTTACAAAAGTATCTTAATACTACACCAGTTGAAAAAAAACAATCATAAAACTGCACATCCAGAAATGCAAATTAAAAAATTGGGAGACTGGTATCTTCAAGATGATTGTTTAAAGCATGAGCAAAAAGCTAGAAAAAAATTTTCTTCTCTGAAATTTGAGGTGGCAGACAATGCCTGGGAGAAATGCCACATGTGGCCCGTTAGTTAGTTACATAATTTATCTTTTTTTGTAGTCTTAAAACAAATGTGACATATTCTAGATTAGGTTAACCAACTATCCACAGGGTTGGTCCTCTGCAGTAGCCCCATTTTGGAGAAGGAATATTGACCATAACTGCAAATTTATTACCAAATGTGACAAGCTTTGAGTAAAATGTACAAGTGTTGTAAACAACAAATCAGGTGTATTACAAAAGTATTTGAACTCAAAATATGTCTATGAATTGACAACATCAGTCTGATTCAGACTCCAATAAGTCAGAGTGCATGATGATATTAAAGTGAAGGATAAACATATCTTTGTTGATCGTACAGTTTGCATAACCTCTAGAACCTATAGTTTTTTTTGTATCCCTATATATGTATCTGGTATTTACTCTTCTCTAACAAGAACTGTTGCTAAATCAGCAATGGAGAGTAAACTGAATAACTGACAACTTTGAGATCAAATACATATAAATGTTGCATAGCAATCTGGTAAAAGTTGTAGCACGTGCACTCTGATTCCAACTTGTGCACATAAGGTTAAAACATGCCACAATATGAATTCATGGGTTTTACTAGTAAATATTTCTTTTTTAATGTACGGCTTGTGGATTATTTATAAAATTAGGAAAGTGAAAAAAAAAATCACAGAATAAGTTAATAAAAAGATTCTGTTCACAGTGTCAAATAATTAAAGACATTGAGAGAAATAGCTAATGCAAAATTAAACTTAAATAAAAACTTACAAAGACAGAAAAAACAACAACAAGCATTTATTTAATCTTAGTGATGTTAAAGTGAGTTTGAAAAGTGTAATTTTTTCCAGATTGTTTTTCACCACACCCATCTAGTCTAGTCACGCCAGACATTAAGGACAAGCAACATAGGAGGCTGCCTGTGGGATCAAATACTCAGTGTCTCTAGCTTTAATTTCTGCCTAAGGCAACAGATAATCTACCGACAGCCCTATTGTTAGCTGCATTCTTAAAATAAGCAACCTACTTGTCATCAAAATATGCCCAATAATGAGAAAAAGCTGTTAGGATAAGCACTGAATTTTATACAACCATCTTTTTTTTTTACAATTCTCTCTTAAACAGGTGGTTTTTAATAGGTAATTTGCTATATGCAGTGCAGTCCTGATGTTTTTACTTTCTAATATAAAAAACTTGCAAGAAAAAATAAGATTAAACTCATTATTTAAAATTGTTCCTTTTGCCACGTTTTGGCAAGTTCAACTGGCTGGGTGCTCCAAAGTCCTATTAATGAATAATAACTGCTATTTATAATACGTTTAACTGCTAATTAACACAAACAGTAACAGTCACTTTAGTTGCACTGCCATATTAGACTATTGTAGGGTATTAAAATTTTTTACTAAATATTTAACAAAAAAGTGTTTGCTGTATGATACTGATAGATCAGTCAGTCTAACTCTAAGCACAATGAAAAAATTTGGATATAAACAAGAAATGTTATTTGAATAACAATAACTTGTATAAATACGAAATATAAATTACTGATAAAATTTAATTTGCATCCAGTATTTAAAGAAAAATTGAAACTAACGTGATTCAAAAAAAGCGAAATTTAGTGTAGAGTGTAGTATAGTCCTGTATTGTAACTCTAAACAGTGTGGTTAAAAATAATAGTCTAGGAATTAGTATGACTCGAATATGACACCACTGGCTGACATTACAACTTGTACTTGTATTGTAAGATGTAGTTGTACAAAGTACAACTTCAAAGTTCAATACACAAATGTCTGCTTGAACTTGAACTTTGAATCCTATTTTCTAAAAACTGCGCTGTAACTTGTAATTACAACTCCCAAAAAAATTATCAAACGTCAAACCAACATATACAGAACATTCACGAATATTATTCGATAAACTTACTGTATGACCATTTATATTTTGAGCAGCTTCGATAACACACGATAACGGTTGGGTATCGTCTATAGTAAGCTTTACAGATTTTCTGCTCTCAAACACCGCCATTATAATGAGATTAACCCTCTTGCGTACCATCTAGCGTTGCAATAACTAGATAAATAATAAATTCTGGTGTAAAAACACACAAACAATATGCTGAAATCCACTTTTGGGGGAAATCGAGTTGAAAAATGTTTCAATTTTCGTACCTATAAAAATTTAAAACAAATAAATAATGACAATTTTATGTATTATACAGTTTCAATTCGTACTCTGAGAATAAGAACATTAGTTAGGTTTGTCATTTTGTTAATTCTTTAATAGTTTTGCAATATTACAGTACGTTCAAGTGCAATGTATTAAATTTCGAGCTAAGGTAAGTCCGCCAAACAGGAAATTCGTTCAAAATATTGAATTATGAAACAGTGGTGAACTTGAACTGGCTGAGTTTAAGTTAAAGAATGAACAGACTGACGCAAAGTGTAATACACAATGAAAACAATATTTATTAATACCTAAGAGAAAAATGCAGCTTGTTTGTTTACTTGCGATGGACTGTCACTTTTTCACGATGTTTTTCTAGTTGAAGACTCGATGAAGACTAGGTCAAAACTAACTAAATGCGAGGTTACTAACTCCAAAGAAGCTTCGCATTTTCCCATCGCGACATGCATTACTACATGACTGGTCATTATTATTCCACATAGGTGCGGTCGTAACCTTTAGATATTACCTGTGCAACCAACACTATTATCGACTTTCTGAAACAAAGTAAGTGTAAGCAATGTTTTCTTTAGGCGAAACAGGTATTACTAACTTTGAAAACGATAAAGCCACAAAGGTAACTTGAAATAAGGTCAACGTAACGGTTTTCTTGATTATGCGTTGTGTGAAAACCTCCACATATTAAGAACAAAGAATAAATTCAGAATATATACCAATACTATAGAAAGACACCTACGGTATATTCCTCTTACTCAGTTTCCCATCTTCCTTACTTTAGGCTTGTCCCAAGCCGTTAATCAATTAACTTAGAAACTAATCAATTTTCAACTCGTGCTGTTCAAGAATTATGTTAACCTTTTTTGGCTTCCAAACACTAACACATCTTACAGTCGTTAAAACCCTTAAACAATCAATTAAGTGTACATAATCAAACCCTTTGTCACAAAAAGTACATACTAAAATGCGTAAACAAATCCTTTAACTAAGAAATTACATATAATGCAAAAATAACCCTTTAGCAAAGGAATTACATGTAGTGCAAGCATTAGAAATGTAAGCACACATACACTAACGAAAAAATTTTAACAATGAACCAAAGAAAAACCTTACTTTTATAAGATATAAAATGGAACACCTTTAAGAAAAATTACAAAAATAACTCTTTAAAACAACGATTGAGAATTATAGTTGCACATACAAAATGCATTTTCATCCATGTTCTCCATCAGATTGAAGGTTAGGCCATTTCTCGGAATCCTCAAATCCACAGAGAAATCCAAATCCCCTTGAATAAAAAGTTGCTTTCTCTGAAAGTGGGTTCCATCAATTATGATCAGTTGGGTAAGTCCACGGGTTTATTCTCTGGCTAAAATTTGAAGAACGAGACAGTTAGATTGATCCATAACTTTAACTTAAATACTAAAGGACTAGACTGAAAATGTTAGGTCAGTGAAATCTAATTGTTCAAAATATCAGCCAGGTGTGTACGTTGTTGAGGTTCGTAACCTGATGATTACAGCCATTATTACCCGTAAATAATCCTTGAGGTACTTTGGTCAAGTAGCACTCCTATGGTGTTCACATGTGTTCATGCAAAATACATCTGTGGAACACGTATCCACTGGTGTCCATGAATGACTTGCCACACAGGCCATAAATAGGTTTCCACTTTACTAATACCTGACTAGCCATGCTGCTAATATTGATATTCCCATAACAAATTGAAGCAAGCTTTTGTAAAATGGGTCCTAAGCACCTACACTGAATGGATTGGGTAAACCTAATTCTTAATTCTGACTGTTAGAATCACCAACATCTTCATTGTCTTTCCTTGAAAACCTTCTCTTAGTTATAAATTTAGTAATCTCAATGGTGAAATTTTGAACGTTTCACTCCATTGTTGATGCTTTTCATGCTCCCCTAGTACATTGTGTATATTCACGCATCATGTCTATTGGAAGAAAAATATTCAGAAAATTGTGGTTCTCAATGCATTTTGGTCTGCATGGTCAAAAATATTTTATCAGATCCAGATAAAATACTGGGAGCATCAAGTTTATATTTGCTATGATATTTAAGTCACTGTACATTATTCTTACAAAAAAAAACCCACAAGTAACATTATGTTTTCTCTTGAATATAATGTTGCACTGCTTGAAAAACACCCAGGTGAAACTTTATCTTATTTTAAAGGTAGCACGAGTCTACCATTAATTTTATCTTATCATAAGCGTTCGCTTTCTGCTAAATATTTCGGTTGTGAAATTGATAAATTATCTCTCCAACGTTAAATAAAATAATATGTACACTATATTTCCCAATATTGCCTCACAAGCCAATAATAGCAAAGTCTTAATATCACGATCAAATCCTTTATTTCAGTCCTCAACTAGGTTAAAAATTCTGTTTCTCATGCAATTGATTTATTTATGTCATACAACACTCATGAATGACTTCGTGTTGTGTTTCTACACGTGTGAGGGACCTCACACATATATTTATTTAGACCTGTATATTGCCTTATATATTTATCTCCAATTCACATTGCCATATGTACTAATAGCTTTTAAATATATAGCCTTCAACTTCCTACTGAATTCACATTATAACAATCTCAGGTTACTTTCCATCAATAGCTTGGTTGCGTTAGTTGCTGCCGTCTGAAAACTATCAAACTTAAACATTTTTGTTTCAGGCTCTCACAAAATAATCACAGACTGAGCTGAGCTATTACTTTTCAACTAAGATTCTCGTAAGTCAGGATTAATCATTTGTATAGAATACATCGATATTCATTAAATAAAAACACAACTCGATCACTATGTATGGGGGAGTTCATCCAGCCTAAAAAAGATCTAATAGATTGTAGTGCTATTCTCTGCAGAACTCTCTCTACTGTACTGGATTAGATAAGTGATTCTAGTGAAACAATGAACAATGCTCGTTGAAGAAAATCACTTGGTAACTCAGAAAGTAAGGATTAAAAACCTTTTAAACTGTGTTTTCAAACATCTAATTTTCATCTTGAGTCATACAAACTGATGAACATTAGGTATTATATCAACTGTCATCAACCATCCTAACTGTGTATCGAGTATTAGTTCTAAATGTAAGCCACACATTCTGTCACACATTATTACTCAAGAGCTAAGAAAAGAGAGGGAACAGCATATTCTTTCACTCATTGATTTTTCAACCACATGAATGTTCTGAATGTATTATTTAAGCAGTAACTCTACAAAATAGTGCATACACGATGTCTTCCAATACCACTTGAGAGTTTAGACAACAATGGTCACTATACCCTTTCAAACAGCAATTGCTTAAAAAATTGAACATTCTACCTATTACATGAGTGATGATTGAACAATGTAATATACATGATGCTTCATGTCATCATTATGGGGCTAGGAAACAAGGGTTGTGACGCCATTTCAGTCAGCAACTTTTCGACTACTTGATCATTCTAGCTGTTGATCTGGTCTCAATCCTAGCCATATAAGTTGGGAAGTGGACGTCAACAAGTCTGTGAGCTGTTGGAGCTAAGAATAACCTCTGGATACAGCATTTATTCATCTGACTCATCATGAACAGCCAGATAAGTGCCATCAGCTCCTACATCATTATCCTCATCGTTATAGTGGGATAAAACAGAGTTCTTATCATCATTTGATTTGAATTATTCTTCATCTGTCTCTTCATAATAAAGTCAGTTCATTAGAGGTTCATTGGTCATGTACAGGTGCAGCTTTTGCGGGCTTTTTTAACTGCTCTCTTTCTCTCATACATTACAGAACCATCTCGTTGATGAGATTTGATCCAGCCAGAGCTAAACGGTTTCCATTCCACTGGTACCTAACAAAACCACCCTAAATTTCTACTTTGATACATCGGCTACTTCACTGTCTTACCATAGTATATTTCTGATGCATGGCAACCTTCTTTAGTAAACGACGTGTAAACACATGCACATCAGCTATGAAAACCTGCTCTAGGTAAAGGATCAAACATAACATCTGCTAGAAGCAAACTTCTCGATTGAACATAAGCATATTTCGTGAGAAACCCATCAATCTCTGTTCATTTACATGATGTGCCATTATGACAAAGAACAACATCCAAGCTGGTATGGTTTGAGTTAACAAACATAGCAAGCATGCACTTGACAGTTTATATCCTTTTTCTACTAACTCATCAGAGTGGAGGTGGTAGAGGTGAAGTTCACGTTTTCACCATACCTAACACCTCACAAAACTCTTTGAATGACTGGCTGTCAAAGTTTGCTCTCTTATCTCAATAGATCTCTTCGGTTGTTCCAAACAAGGCTATCCAGTGTTCTATGGCCATGTCAGCCATGGAATTGAGGGCCTATCAAACATTTAAACATATTGGCCCACTTGGTGAAATAGTCAATAACCATCTCCAGGAGTGAACCAGCAATATCCAGGGCCTCATAACTCTAGGAATCACTAGTTGAACATATACTGAGACCTATTTCTCAATGGCTGATAATTACAGCATATCATATTTTCCTGTGCTTGTAACTGATTATATAAGTGCCAAATGTTATGTGCATCTATACTATGTACCTCAATCTGAGTCAGATGCATTTAGTCTTGCTGCTTTGCAAGGAGCATCCACACTAGATATGAATCATTCAGTTGCTCTTTCCAGAGCTCCCAAAATACTACTCGTGACATCCAACCATTAGTGGAAATTTCTGCATTTTTTGTTGTTATAGCAGCAATGGTACTAACTCCAATGAATGGGCAGGGAAATCTGTCTGAATTCATGTGATGTTGGTCAGGATGATAATGTTTGATTAAATCATACTTCTGCCTCACTGTTAGCCAGCAGGCTATCACCCCTTC